GGAGGAGGAGGAGGAGGAAAGAGGGAGAAGAGGTGGAACAGGACCGGACACTCGTACTGATGGATGGGCAGTACCACCCAATGTCTGTCTGCACATGATTTCACGTTTTACTTTGGCCTGACAAGACTTCCGGCTATCTTCTGTCGCAACCGGAGGAGGAATGATGTCGATGGCGACGGCGGCGGCGGCGGCGGCGGCGGCGGCGGCGGAGGGGCAAGAACAGAAACAGGAGGAGTTACCGGACTCACCTCTCGTACCAAGACCTTGCTACCAACAGTCTCTGAATCTTCAGTGGGAACTCTCCAAAACTACGGGCCGTCAAACTGATGGCTACTCTGGCCCTGCGCAGCATTGCCGGTACCCGGAGGGCGGGTGGTGTTTTAAGGACGTCTACTGCTTCCGTCGACAGAATGCTCTCTTTCCTGGCCTAAAAACAAAGTTACAGCCATCTGAGGAGTTAGGCTCTCATCTGTGACTGATGATCAGAGCGTCTGGCTGCAAAAAAAACTAGGGGATTTCGACAGCAGCCGTGTGTTGCGCATGCATGGCCATATTCAGTCGGGGTTTTGACCTAGTTGGCGTTGGGGATCCAATCCAGGCAGCGCGTGTGTGAATTTCGGTGTGGGTAAATGCACTCCATGTACGCCAATAAAGGCTGCCTGATGGGAAGGCGCCTTATGGAACCTCTGTCCTTCAGTGTTATTGACCAAGCGGTTTGGTCTTACATATGGAACAGGTGCGATATATACGTATACAAATGTCAAGTAAATGTGTGACCCTCACTGTTATGCCTAGGATCTCACTCGATCCCATTCTGCCCGCCCGCCAGCTTGCTGGTAGCGACAACAGCGAGGATCACAAGCTTACTTGACACGTTTATTTACGTAACTTGGCAAGGCCTATGACTTACTGATGATCGGTAACGACCGCAAAACAGCTGTCTGCGTCTGGTCTGTCGCACTCTTAGTGAACTGCCTACGTATTATACATACGTAGTTTATTCAGAAACAGAACCAGCAAAACACTAATAGTTTCATCAAAATATCAGTATTTATATGGGCGCTGTGCCGTGCATTCATAATCGAAGAATGGAGTCTAAAAGCGAGCAAGAACAGTGGGAATGGCCTCAATGTAAAGAGAAAGGCATGTTCTTGCTTTTATGGTGGAAAAATATTAGTATTGTTTAGGAACGTGAATGAAACCGCCAAAAGCGTCAAATCTTTTCTTGGCCTCACCGTGAAAAAATGCAAAGTTACACAGAGATCCGTCAACGGCGTGCAATTATAAAACAATTCTTAAAGAGGTAACTTATTAAGGAAAGTTTTCTTATTAATCTAAGGCATATTCGTTGGTGACTTTCGTTGTGGACAGTCATTTTTCTCGAAAATAAAGTTTGATGTTTGAATGAGTCTTCACATGTGACCCAAACGACCATCTTCGTGAAAAAGGGAGCTCAAACACTCACTAATTCGGTAAATGCCTTCAAGAATTATCTTATTTTAAAGTTCTCAACAGACAGGTAATTCAGAATCTGTCTTTATGGACGATCGGGTGAAAACACTGAAAATCACTAAGTATTAAGCAATATTTAGAGGCCGATCTGAAACTCAGTGTTACCCAAAATGAACGATAAGTGCAAATTAATTTAACGGAAGAAAAGTTCTCTCTATAATCGCAAAACGGTACGTTTACGATCACGCCTGTCAGTTCTATTTAAATTTATTAGGCACCGACCGGCCTCATGGCATGTCATCTTATGAAAACTTTTGTTCCTACGACGTCCACATCGGTGAACTCAAGCAAATTCCAGCTTCTCTTGTTGAACCCCATCTCATTTACTTCAAAGGAGTCAAAAATAACATGAATCACTGGAAAACTGTTTTGGAATCTACACTCAGAATGTAGGCAGTTGACAAACCGTCATATATGAAATCACACTACTTATCAAACGATATTTAGATGCAAACTTCACTAAAACGCTGTTATTAGACGTTATTTTATGTCTACTTTCATATTTACTACGTTTTTGGTATGAGAATACATTCTGTGCATCTAAAAACAAACTTTACTTAATTAGAGCCATTTCTGACGTTTTCGGGACATTGCGCTTTTCAAAATAGATCCGCATTTCTAAACAACGCAACACTGCCTATAATATTTCTTTTATGTTTTTAATTCTTTTAAACTTTTACTTAATTAACATAGACATTGGACTCAAGAAATGGTGTCGGTTGCCGAGTGATTGGCAATCATTCGTAAATTTCGACACATTTCATGAGTTAGGTCACCAACTGTAAGTGCGTATTACATGTACACGCGTTGATTTTGTCCGACCTCAGGTGTTAGTTTTGAATATACGTAAATGACTGAAATGGGTCATATGTCTGAAACAGCTGCGGCCACTGGCTACACTTCTTTCCCCGGTCATTTTCCCACCCTTTAAGTGCAGATGCATTCCAAGGTTACTCGGTGTGCCCTAGCCAGGATCCACGGGAGCTGATCAGCCTTACCGAAAAAGTATTGATTGAGAATCAGACACTGACACCGAGTTCCCACTGTGATGCCCCTTGGTTAAATTAACTTGACAGTAGTCTCGGCTCTGTTCAGAGAACAAGACGATCGCCATCTATAAAGTGAATTTTTTCGTTTTTTCATTATCCGTTCGTGTGGCATCGATTTTTCGGGCAATACTGGATAGCATGTTCTACAGTACCTTTGCGATGTGTACTCTCCTGTTCAGTTTATAATATCCTTCTAACGTGCAGATCGGTATTTACAAGCAAATTACTCTGTTGAAATCACCCTACTTCCGCGACGTATGATCGTTCATGTGGGGAATTTGCATGGCTGCTTCAGCATTAAAAACAGTGCATGGTCAAGATACATACAAGGTCGTCCGAAAATTGTCCGAACTGGTTCAACTTAATACGATGCCATCAGTAAATGAGAGATGCAGGGGGTTAGTTGATTTTGTTTATTTTCCTACACAATTAAAGCGATGGTGATAAGAAGCAGAGTAGGTAGCTATGCCCTGATCAAGGAAAGATTGTTTAAGTGAACTCGCTTTACCCATTGGGGGGGGGGAACATAGTCTTCATTTCTCTCGTATCGGACAACAGATAGGGTGGTAGAAGGGGATCGGAGGAATTTACTTACGAGACATGCGTACTTTGCCATTACATTTCAATGCCTTCTGGAAAGGAGACACATTTGTATACTGGAGGAATCTCGGCTACACGCATGCTCATAGGGAGGTCGCAAGCAGTTGCCTTCATTGAAAATCCAGGCATGTCATTACAAACGTACTCTGCTGCAAAATGGACGTTGTCATATCAATTTCTGTGTCGATTCTAGGAAGTACGACTCAACTTATACAAACTTCGAAATCAATGACAAAGATACGTTTCTAGAACAGAACTTTTCTCCGACACGATTGCAGTAGATAGCTGGAAAGATGTTCACCTGATAACCCAGCCCATTACTGTGTGTCTGGTTGGAGTTTCTTTGGAATCCAAATTGCAGCCCCACTTTGAAGTACTACTTTCCATTTGCAAACATATGCAAAGACCTCGGTCAATATTTAATGAAGTTCGGCGCCTGCAGCACATACGAGAATGCATTCACACGTGTAAATTATGCCGGCGGGAAGCGTTTCAAGTCAAAATACTGAGCCCCATTTCGCGAGCGCTGCTCGACCGACGCGGGAAGACAACCCTTCATCGATTTATTTCCCGGTTGGACTGCCGAACGGACGAGAAAGGGCTGTCGGTGGGCGGTTTCGCAGTAAAACAAATGACGCGGATTGTTGGTCGAAGAGAGGATAATGTGAGACCGTTTATGGAATTCCAGGAAAGCAAGTGTGCAGGCAAATTCCAATTAACCAAAGAGCCGGGTAAGCAAGCTGCACCTCGAATCAGGGAGACGCAGACTTCGCTGCCAGCACGCGAACACTCACCGTTCGCCGCCAATTTATCGCCTCTAATTTGGCCGTCCATCTGGATGGTGTGATAGCGGGAAAAAGGTAGCGATAATGGGAGAGTAAACTGTCCCTTGCTGGCTAATGTTCCAGCGTCAACCAGCCGTATCTCAGGCCCAGGACGGTGAGATATGAAGACGAGCTCAAATACTCCTTAAGCCCAATGTTCGAGCTGCTGCGCTGCTGGCTTCTGCTCTGTGGGCTGTGAGTAGCACTAGTCAGAGTCAGGTTGGTGTAGGATATACCGAGTTGCGAGTTTTCTACACTGCCGTCTTCAGGCGACGCTAAGCCCTCGTATTCTCTCCCGCAATCAGGCCAGCCTCCGCAAACGTCAGTCCCACGTGAAGAAGTTGTTTCAAGCCCCCATTACAACAGGACGGGGGGGGAATCCGTCTAAAATCTCAAGGAGTCGCTGCATTGACCGTGTAATGGGAGTTGCCGGTTCGTTGGCTGTTAAATGCTCCCCCTCCCCTCGCACTACATCTGGCGGACGGGCACCGAGTAGCGTCCAACCTACGGCTTAAGCCTGTTCCACCAGAGTGGCACGCTTACAATAATACGCTGTGCGAAGACGAAAGCCAGGAGGTTGAAACTAGTTCGCAGGTAAACAGGATGGGGAAACAGCTGTAACAATTAGTCAGTTAAATGCATGCATGAGTACAATAAATTTGCTTTCAATCTGTCTTTACTTTGGAAAAAGGCGAAGGATGTCAACCCTACATATTGAAGTACGGTGGCAAGACGTTTCTTCTTGGACAACTTGGCAGACTGCATTCATCAGTTACTCAATCCCATGACGGTGGCAGGCTCTCGTTGTCGACAGTAAGTCCTCACTTTTGTACCACCGAACGAGCACAGCAAGACTTCAGAAATATACACTGACCGCTCTCATGAAATTTTAACTGAAATTCGGAAATGAATTTTCGAGTGGGAACCACTATTTCAAGTGGGGCTGTAACATTAGTTATCTTGCGATACAATCCCGTGATAGTTTGAACACGCGAGGATGCCGGCTTTTGAATGCACCTCTTTCCGGCCCCCTGCAAAAACCGCACTCAGTAAAAATGACGACTTAAGTAGTATTAGTGTTTTCCATCAATTTTGAATGTCACTGTCAGCTCAAATATACTTTTAGGAAACCTTAATAAAAGCATTATTTCTTGAACTCGTGCAGTAGCAAATCACGTCTTCTTTAAACCATGTACCAGAAAAAGGGTATCTTTTCGTTTTCAAAATTTATTCAATTCGTGAATAATTTTGGGCCCGATCTGCCGTTACCTTGGTCTTAAGGGCTCTCAGTCCACAAGCCGTATAGTTTCCGTGTAAGGTTAAACATATACTTCTTTAGACCATTTGGAAGTACCATATAGTGTGAACTATGTCGCATATTTGATGAGGAGCATTATCGAGCAGACAAACACGACATTGTTTAAGTGGGTATTTCACAGCACTAAAAAATCTCATTATCAGAAACTCTTTAAAACCAAAACTTGCTCTTT